ACGAATGGACAAATAAAGCGTAAAACACATACACACACAAACATCCATACACACACACACACACACACACACACACACACACACACACACAAACAACCCCCCCCCCCCCACACACACACCTGTACCCTCCTTCCCTCTTAACCTCCCCCCACCCCCCACCCCCCACCCCACCCCACTCACCCCACACACCCCCACCCCACCCCCCTCTTCCCTCTTAACCCCCCCTACCTCTCACCTTAAACGTAGTAACGCCGTATCCGTATTTCTTATTGTTGTACCACTCGCCCTCGTACTTGAGTCCGTCGGTGCGGTCGGAGACGCCGAAGCCACACCTCTTGTCGTTCTTCCACTCGCCCATGTAGTTCTCCACCACACTCGCGTCCAGCTGTTCGTCCTGCTTGGGTGAGGGAGGAGAGAGGTTCAGTTGGGGGGGAAGCAGCTGGGAGGGAGAGGGTGGGGGGGAAGAGGGCGTGGGGAGGAGGGGAAGAGGAGGTGGGGAGGTGGGGGAGGGAAGGAGGGAGGGAGGGGGAAAAGAGAGGGGCCAGCTGTTCGTCCTGCTTGGGTGAGGGAGGAGAGAGGTTCAGTTGGGGGGGAAGCAGCTGGGAGGGAGGCAGGGGGAGGGGGTAGGGGGAGAGGTGGGGTGGGGAGAGTGGGTGGGTGAGGGAGGGAGGGAGGGAGGAGGGGGATGGAGGTGGGAGGGGGTAAGGGAGGTGGGAGAAGAGGGTAAGGGAGAAGGGAGAGGGACCAGCTGTTCGTCCTGCTTGGGTGAGGGAGAGAGGGGTTCAGTTGGGGGGAAGCAGCTGGGAGGGAGGCAGGGGGAGAGGGGGAGAGGTGGAGTGGGGAGGAGGGGAAGAGGGAGGGAGGGAGGGAGGGAGGGAGGGAGGTGGGAGGGAGGGAGGGGAGAAGAAGGGAAGGTAGGTGAGGGAAGAGGAAGGAGAAGGAGAAGGAGGAGGAGGAAGAGGGTAAGGGAGAGAAGGAGAGAGGTTCAGTTGGGGGGGTGGGTGAAAGCTGGGAGGGAGGGACGAGGAAGAGGGGAGGTTAGGGTGGAGGGAGGAGGAGGAGGAGGAGGAGGAGGAGGAGGAGGAGGAGGAGGAGGAGGAGGAGGAGGAGGAGGAGGAGGAGGAGGAGGAGGAGAAGGAGGAGGAGGAGGAGGGAAGGGAAAGGGAAAGATTTACGAAAGGAATCGGGAAGGAAATAATAAAGGAAGAAGAAAAAAGGAAACAGGAGAAAACTTGAAAAAGGAAAACGAAAAAGAGAAAGAAAACAAAGGGAGAAGGAACAGGAGACAAATACCGAAAAAGGAAGAGGGGAAAACGAGCCTAAAAGAGGGGAAACTAAAGAGGGGAAAGGAGAAAGATCTTTATGCATAAAAAATAGAACATTTAAGACACTTTTGAACACTTTTTCATAAAGTGTGAGGGATGAAGGGGAAGCGGGTGGAGGGTGGGGTGGGGGGATAAACACAAAACTCCCAAAAAAATGAACTTATTTTTTAAGGGATTTAAGGATCTCGTTTTAGGGAAGGGGAAACAAGCTCAAAAAAAAAAAAAAAAAAAAAAAAAAAAAAAAAAAAAAAGACGAGAAGGTAACAAACCCACAATTTTATAGATATGAAGAAAATTTAAGATAAAATTGTACATATCGAAAATATGGGGCTTAATGCAAAAAAATAAAATAAAATAAAAAATAAAATGAATAAATGAATAAATAAAAAAAATACAGGGATCATTAGGTTACAGGGAAAAGAAAAGTGACGTTGTTAGATTACAAAACATTCCTACAAGAACTGCTGATACCTTCAAGTAGAAATAGAACTTTCACAAAAGGATTCTGTTTCTGTAATTGAAAATAGTTGAGTCCTCCCTCAAACAGCCTTAGAAAACGTGGAATGACTTGACTTGAATATTTGTAAATTATCACTAATACGATTGTTTGATGAATAATAACAATAATTAATTAAATACTATTGTTGAGGTTCTCTTAACCTATTTCTATGTACACTATTCACATACAGCATGCAGTCTTTGGCTTCGGAGATAGAGCTAATGTTATATGTGAATTTATAGTGATTTTTAGAATATGAGTTTTTAGTTTCTTACACTTAATTTACATATTTCTGTTTATCGTTATCTTTTAGTATATTTAAATAGTAGGCTATGAAATGATTTGCATTCTAACTATGTATATAATTTATATATATATATATATATATATATAAATATATATATATATATATATATATATATATATATATATATATATATATATATATATATATATATATATACATATATATATATATATGTATATATATATATATATATATATATATATATATATATATATATATATATATATATATATATATATATATATATATATAAATATATACATATATACGTAAACATCAAAAGCACAATACAAAGAAATTCAAAGTACACACAGCATGACAATAATGATTACATAGCAATTCTCTAGGAGCCATTAAGTCAAAATGATAAACTAAAAGAAAGTGAACTAAGAGAAGACAAAATAAAATGAAGCAAGCAAGCGACTACAGCTTAGCGCTCGAGCTTAGCGTAAATCGCTACCTACTTGAGCAGAGCCTTCTACGCTACCCACGGTGTGTTCTGCGCAGGCGCCAGAATACGGAACAAGAGGCGGGTGAACAGAGACAGATATAGTGACAGAGACAGAGCTGTGCAGCAGTTGCAGCCAGCGCGTGCAGAGCATCACCATCACCATCGTCATCATCCTCATCACCATCACTACAGCAAGGTTACAAAAGGCTTCTCGACAGCGTTACAGCGGCGGCTACAGAGCTACACGTACCAACCCTACCTCGATGATGAAGGAGGCGTTGGAACCCTCGTCCGGAACGTCTCCTACTGTGTACGCCGACTGGCCGGAGTCCGTCGACATCCACGACGCCGAAGACCCGGTCGAGCGAATGGATCCAGACGCGCGCCCCGTCTGGATGTCGCCCGTGCTTCGTTGGCGGCGCATCTTCAGGCCCTGGGGGGGGAGGGGGGAGGGTTAGTGGGGGTGGATGAGTGGTGGATGAACGGAAGCGATAGCTACGTAAATAAATTAATAAGTTATGTATGAATTATGAATGCTCCCGTATCTTCAGACCCCGGGGGAGGGGGAGTGGATGAGTGGGGTGAATAAGTGTAGATAAGTGAGTTGTAGGTAAGTGTGTGTGTGTGGGGTGGGTGGGGGGGTGATGGATGAGTCATGAGTAAGAGCGAGATGGATGAATGAGTGAGTTGTTGAGTGATGAATGAGGGAATGTTTATGTGAATAAAAATAAAACGGATAAACGAGAACTGAATAAGGTACGGATGAAAATGAATAGATTATGCATGAGTAATGAACGGATGAATAGAAATGAATAAGACGAGGGAGTGTATGAACGAGTAAAGTATGAATTATGAATGAGTGAATAGTCGATGTATGAATAACAGTGAATAAATGAATAAATGAAAATACAGACATAAACATAATAAGAAAATGAATAAATAGGTAAAGAAGTGAATGAGAGTGATGAATAGGAGTTTGAATAAACAGGATAAACAAGAAAAAAAAAAGCCAGATGGGTAAAAAGTTGAATAAATGAAGAATAAGGAAGTGAATGAATGAATGGATCGTAAATAAATTTCTTGAACTGATATATGAAATGAGTGAATGAGGAAACAACTGAATGAAAAAAATAAATAAATTGAGCGGGGAAATTCATGAATGGATGAATGGATAACCGAAAATAAATGAATTGATAAACACATGAAAAAAAAGTTTATGAATAATGAGGTAAAAAATAATGCATGACTATGATATATAATGTATATAATATTGCCCATATTAAGTGAACATTTTTTAACAATATATCATCTGTGATATCAATAATACATATTCTAAATAATTCACAAGCAAACTTTACTAAAATATCGTCATAAGAAGTAACAATATCACTTTAAATATATTTTCAACATGAAAATATCAACGTTATAACAATATTCTGGGGTTCATACATAACACGAATAAAACAAATCGAAACTAGTATTAATTACCGTTAGTAATTATCGCCAACTGCAATTAGTACGCATTTTGAGCGTTACGTCATACCATTAAGTAATTCAATATCAACCAAGTGTTACGTCATTGCTATTACTATTACTATTACTGTTACTATTACTCTTATGATACTGTACTACTTGCCAAACTGTGACGTCGTGTGAAGATATTTACTTTTAATGGTGAGAAAGTGGTATATTTCATAGTTTATAATGGTATCCTTTCCTATAAGAAAACTTGGATTTTAGTGAACCATTATAGACCAATAAAATACACTTCAGTTATTTTTTTCTTATAATTAGTTTTCTTTTAATTTCGGTCACGTATTTCAGTGTGTTGTCAATTAATCCATGGTTTTATCTCTTGTCCTGAGAGATTGACAGAGAGACAGACAGACAAAGAGAAAGAGAGGGAGGGGGAGAGGGAGGGAGGGAGGGAGAGAGGGAGAGAAATAGAGAGACAGACAGACAGACAGAGAGGGGAGACAGAGAGAAAAAGGGGGGAGGGAAGACAGACAGACAGAGAGAGAGAGAGAGCGAGAGAGAGACAGAGGGAGAGATAGATAGATAGATAGATAGATAGATAGAAAGAGAGAGAGAGAGAGAGAGAGAGAGAGAGAGAGAGAGAGAGAGAGAGAGAGAGAGAGAGAGAGAGAGAGAGAGAGAGAGAGAGAGAGAGAGAGAGAGAGAGAGAGAGAGAGAGAGAGAGAGAGAGAGAGAGAGAGAGAGAGAGAGAGAGAGAGAGAGAGAGAGAGAGAGAGAGAGACAGACAGACAGACAGACAGACAGACAGACAGACAAACAGACAGACAGACAAACAGACAGACAAACAAACAGACAGACAAACAGACAGACATACATCAAAACGGACAAACAAACAAACAGAAACCAGGGAAAAGAAGACCCACAAACACACACTCTAAACACCCAGGCCCACACACCTAACCCACACACCCAACCTACACCCCTCCTACCCTCTCCCCCATAACCCACGCCCACGCCCACACCCACTTACCTTGAAGACATTTCTGATGTTACTTGGTCGATCGGAGACGAGACTGCCCCTGCGACGTGGTATCTCGTCACTCCTCGCCCTCAGTACGAAACCACCGCGCCCATCGTCTACCTGTGGGCGTGGGAAAAATGAGAAAAAAGGAGGTCAGTGAGGGAGAGGTGGTGAAGGAGGGGGGAGAGGGGGGGGAGGGAAGAGGGGAGGGGGGAAGAGGGAAGAGGGGAGGTGGGGAAGGGAGAAAAGAAAGATGTAAAGGGGAAGAGGGGAAGAGAGGGGGATGGGGGGAAGGGGGAAGGGGGGGATGGAGGAAAGAAAAGGGGGAAGACAGGGGGAGGGTGTAATTGGGAAGGGAAGGGAAGAAGGAGAAGTGGGAGGAAGGGAGAAGGGGAATGAAGGAGGAAGGGAAAAGAGGTCAGTGATAAAGGGGAAAGGGAAGGGGAGAAGGGAGGGGTAAATAGGGAAAGAAGGATCGAAGGGAGAGAATGTAAATGGGGGAAGGGAGAAGGAGGGGAAAGGGGTGAAAATTTATGGAAGAGGGAGAAAAGAAGGGATGAGAGGAAGAGGAGGAAGTAAGTGAGGGAAAGGTTGAAAAAGGGAGGGAGGAAGGAAGGAAGAGGAGGGAAGAAGAGGTAAAAGAGAGAAGAGGAAGGGTAAGTGGGGAAAAAGAGAGAGGAGGGGAGGTGGGGAAAAAAAAGGGGGGAGGTGGGGAAAGGGGAGATGGGAAGGGGAAGTGAAGAGGAAAAGGGAAGGGGAGGAGAAGGATAAAAGGGATAAAAGACAAGCGAAAAGAATGGGAAAAAATCATAAAGGGGAAGAAAGTGGTTGTGTGGAGGAGGATGGGGGGGGGGGGTTAAGAGGTTAGTGGTAAATAAGGAAAAAACGATAGATAGGGAAAAACACAGAAAGGGAAGAAAAGGGATAAGTGATAAATAAGGAAGGAAAAGAGAAAGAAAAAGGGAAAGGTTACATCGAAAAAAATACATTTCTTCTTTTTTCATAATGGTTTATCTTGCCGACTTAGAATATATATATACAAAAGAATTTTAACTTAAAAAAAAGTGTGAAAGAGAAACATAAGTGTTCATTAACGTGAAATATTTTTTTTTAGAGAAAGAAAAATACGCGTTCTATTTTTGGACAGGTAAAAAGGCACAGCATCTGTTCCAAAATAATAATAATAATAATAATAATAATAATAATAATATTAATAATAATAATAATAATAATAATAATAGTAATAAAATGATAATAATGATAATGATGATAATGATAATAACAATAAAATGATAATAATGATAATGATAATAATATCTTCAGGTACAGATACCACTTATCTATTCTGTCTATTTTATCTATTATCTATTTTATTTTAAGAGTTACCAAGTGGCAAAAAGAGAGAAAGAAAAAAAGCATAAACCAAAAAAGTAGATAATGTTGTTGTTTTTTTTAAATAACCCCCAGCAGATCCCCCCCCCACATCCCAACCCCCCCAACTCCCACTGGTTCCACCCATCCCCCCCCATCAGATCCCCCCTACCCAACCCCTCCATGCTTCAAGCTCTCTTAACCCCCTCCCCCCCTACTCACCCGTTCCCCACCCACTTTGACCCTCTCATCCCCTACTATCTCCTCTGACCTCCCGTGACCCCCACCCAACACTGACCCCCAACTCCCCTCTTTTTCTCTCCTCACCCCCCCTCCCCATTAACCCCACCCCCCACCCCCAACCGACCTTCCCCTCTCTCTCCCAGCACGTGGGTCGCCTGCCCCGTCAAAGCTAACACCCAGTACCCTCTTCTCCCCCCTTATCACCCCCCCTTCTTTACCCCTACCCCCCACCAACCTCCTCTCTACCCCTCCACACCCCCTCTTTTCCCCACTCCCCTCCACGCCCTCCAACCCCCACCGACCTTTCCTCTATCCATCCCCACCCCCTCTCTTCCCCCTCCTCTCCACCACTCTACACCCAACCAACCCCTCCTCTACCCCTCACCCACCCCATCTCTTCCCCCTCTCTTCCCCCCCATCCCCTCCACGCCCTCCAACCCCCACCGACCCCTCCTCTACCCCTCCCCAACCCCTCCTCTACCCCTCTCTTCCCCCTCTCTTCCCCAATCCCCTCCACCCCCTCTCTTCCCCCCTATCCCCTCCACGCCCTCCAACCCCCACCGACCCCTCCTCTACCCCCCTCCCCACCCCCTTCTCTTCCCCCTATCCCCTCCACGCCCTCCGACCCCCAACCGACCTTTCTATCTCTATCGGCGAGAGGGTCGCCTGCCCCGTCAGAGCGCAGGGAGGTCGTGGAGCCCCTGTTGTTCGCTCTCGGTCTGCTGACGGAGGCCTGGCCGAACTGGGCGGAGGTGCGCACGCCGTAGCCATGACGAAGGCCGCGCAGCCACTGCCCTTTGTAGGTTCCTGTGGGAGAGAAGAGAGAGGAGAGAAGGGCGTGAATATTTTGTTTTTTTTTTTTTTTTTTTTAGGGGGGGGGGTTGGGGTGGAATGTTGGGGATGGGGAAGGGTTGGGGGTGGGGGAGGGGTTGGGGAGGGGAAGGAGGGGTTGGGGGGAGGGAAGGAGGGGTTGGGGGGAGGGAAGGAGGAGGTCAGCGCTTTCTTTCACACGAAAATTGTAAAAAGATGAAGGAAAAAAAATTTGTATTATTCCAGTATCAAATAAATTCACGTATGTACACCCCCAAATAAGAAGAAAAATAAGTAGAAGAAGAAAATATATATGCATATGTATAGGTATATGTATTATATATATATATATATATATATATATATATATATATATATATATATATATACATATGTATGTATGTATGTATATGTGTCTGTATATATGTATATACGCATTCATACACACACACAAAATATATAATATATATTTAAAATAGAATAAACAAATAACAATGTTACTGAAATGAAGATGAAGAGAGAGAGAGAGATGACCACGGAAATAGATAAGGAGGATATTTACCCCGTTCGTCCAAGCGTTCGTATAAGTTCGCGCGTATAATCCCGGATTGATGACGTAATGAAATGGCTTCGGTTGACTCAAGAGAAACCTCATGACTCACATGACTTGGATTTTCATATATTTCTCGTATTCATCGCTTCTATCATTGTTTTCGGCCATCTATTCATCCAATTGTTTATTCATGCGTATATTTTCTAGTTTTATTTCACGTCAGAGCCTATTGTAGAAACCTAAAAGTCTACGTTTTCTTTCACTCGAGACGAAAAAAAACAAACATTATATTATATTTGTTGGTCACGATCCCCCCCCCACCCACCCCCTTTGAAAAAGACAAAAAAAAAAAAAAATACAAACAAACGTATAAGAAACAAATGCAGGAAGATAAGGAAGAGAAAACGAAAAATTTACCCCGTTCGTCCGAGCGTTCGTATAAGTTCGCGCGTATAATCCCGGATTGATGACGTAAGAAAAAAGGGGCTTCGGTTGACCCAAGAGAAGCCTCATGAATCACATGACTCAGGGGTTGCTCATGAGTTCGTTTAAGTGACCTCAGATGACCTTGAAGAAGTATTAAGCACCTTATATGAATGTGTTTATTTTTTTTCTTCTCATTTACTTATTTATTGACTTCTTTCTTTTTTTCCCCTTGTTTATTTTTCTATTCATCTGTTAATTTACCTATTCATTTTATTCGTTATTTATTTATCTATTCATTCATCTATTTATTTACTTACTTATTAATTCATTTGCATATTCGTTCATTTATTAATTCATATGTTTACCTATTTATAAATGTATTAGTTCCTTTCCATCCAAAATACAGGTAAAAGAGGGTAAATATGGAGAGAGAAAAGGATAATAAAAGGATATATAAAAAGACAGGAAAAGATGTGTGTGTATATATATATATATATATATATATATATATATATATATAGAGAGAGAGAGAGAGAGAGAGAGAGAGAGAGAGAGAGAGAGAGAGAGAGAGAGAGAGAGAGAGAGAGAGAGAGAGAGAGAGAGAGAGAGAGAGAGAGACAGAGAGAGACAGAGAGACAGAGAGACAGAGAGACAGACAGACAGACAGACAGACAGACAGACAGACAGACAGAGAGACAGAGACAGAGAGAAAGAGAAAAAAAAATCAAAGCAAAAACAAACGCAAAAAAAACAACAAAAAAACAGAAGTGAGGACATAAAATGGATTTTCGTTCAAATGATCCGCGATTTATGATGCTTAGAAGGTCACGTGGTATTTAATTATTCCTGTTTATCAATCATATTCATGATCATGATATCCATATTTTTTTTTATCCTCTGTAGAATTTTCTTGACTTCTTTGCTCAGTATCAGTCTTATTTATTCATCACTGTTTATCTATTTGTTTTTTTTCTACCTATCTATTCATCTATCTATTTATCTATCTATTCATCTATTTTCATTTCTCTATTGTAGTTTATCTATCTGTCTATTCTCATTTATATATATATTATCTGTTTATCTATTTTCATTTATATATTTGTCTATTTCATTTATATATTTATCTTTCTGTCTCTTGTTAGTTGCTTGCTCTTTCTTCCACCTTTCTCTTTCGCTTTCCTTATATCGCTCATTCTCTATCTATTTATCTCCCTCTCTTCATTCTTACTCTCTCTCTCTCTCTCTCTCTCTCTCTCTCTCTCTCTCTCTCTCTCTCTCTCTCTCTCTCTCTCTCTCTCTCTCTCCCTCCTTTCCTCCCTCTTCCTTTCCATTTTCCCTCCCTTCGTCTTTCTCTTTTTCTTCTTTCCTCTCTCCCTTCGCCTCTTTCTCTCCCTCCCTACACCTCTCTCTCTCTCTCTCTCTCTCTCTCTCTCTCTCTCTCTCTCTCTCTCTCTCTCTCTCTCTCTCTCTCTCTCTCTCTCTCTCTCTCTCTCTCTCTCTCCCTCCCTCCCTCCCTCCCTCCTACACTCCCTCCCTCCCTCCCTCTTTCTTTCCGTCTCCCTCTCTCCCTCCTTCCCTCCCTCCTTCCCTCCCTCCCTCCTTCTCTCCCTCCCTCCCTCCCTCCCTCCCTCCATTCCTCCTTCTCTCCCTTCCTCCTTCTCTCCCTCTCTCCCTCCTTCCCTCCCTCCCTCTTTCTTTCCGTCTCCCTCCCTCCTTCCTTCCCTCCGTCTCTCTCCCTCGCCCCGCACCGCCGTCCTTGCCCGCCCAATATATCTCTGACGAAAGATCTCAGAAGGAAACCTCTTCTTTCAGCCAAGTCTTTGCCACGGGGAAAGGGGGGGGGGGAAGAGAGGGAGGAGGAGGGAGGGGAAGAGAGGGGGAAGAGGGGGTGAAGAGGAGAATGGAAGAGATGGAGGAGGAAGGGGAGATGAGGAGAAAGAAAGGAATGAAGAGGAGAAGAGAAGGGAAGGAGGAGGGAAGAGAAGAAGGGGGGAGGGGATGAGGAGAAGGGAAGGGAAGGAAGGGGAAGAGGGGGTAAAGAGGAGAAGGGAAGGGAAGGAGGAGGGAGAGGAATAGGAGAAAGGAGGAAGGAAAGGGAAGGAGGAGGAAGGGGGGAAGAGAGAGAAGAGGGGGTGAAGAGGAGAAGGGAAGAGATGGAGGAGGAAAGGGAAGAGAGAGAAGAGGGGGGCAGGGAGAAAGGGAAGGTAGGGGAAAAGGGGTAAAGAGGGGAAAGAAAGGGAAGGAAGAGGAAGTGAGGGAGGAAGAAGGAAGAAGGAAGGAGGAAGGAAGAGAGAGGGATGGAGACGAGATGAATGAAAGAAGAGAGCAGAGAGAGAAGAGGGGGGGGTGAGAAGGAGGGGAAAGGGGGGTGAAAAGGGGAAGGAGAGGGAAGAAGGAGGAAGGGGAAGGAGGAGGATGGGGATGGAATGGAGGGGAGAAAGAAGGAAAAGGGCGAGAATGAAGAGGGAGGGGAAGCGGGGGAGGAAAGGAGATGATAAGGAGGAAGGAGAGGAGTAGGAAGAAGGAGGAAAAATATAAGGAGGAATCTTTCTCTTCCCCCTTTCTCCCTCTCCTCTCCCTCCCTCCCCCCCTCCTCCTCTCCCTCCTCCGCTCCCTCCCCTCTCCTCCGCTCCCTCCCTCCCCTCTCCTCCGCTCCCTACCTCCCTCCCCTCTCTCTCCCTCCTTCCCCCCTCCTCCTCCTCCGCTTCCTTCCTCCCTCTCCTCCTCTCCCTCCTTCCCCCTCCTCCGCTCCCTACCTCTCTCTCCCTCCCTCCTTCCTCCCTCCTCCTCTCCCTCCTCCTCTTCCCTGGCACACAATACTATGGGTATCATATAAAAAAAACGGAAGGTGCCAGATGTTGAATGTGCAACGACGTCATCTTTTTCTTTAATTGTGACGTCATGGTTCTTACGTCATCGGGCTCCGTTGATGACGTCATCGCCTTTTTTCCATTGGATCGTGACGTCATATAGATTGTCGAGCATGTGTGTTATGTTTTCCGGTGATAATAGTTGCCGTGATAATATGCTATGGGATTTTTTTTTTTTTATATTGACTTTCAGATATTCTACCGTATCAGCTTGATAAATAATATTCGGTGTGTATGTGTGTGTGCGTAGGTTTGTTTGTGTGTGTGTAAGCTTGTTCTTGTGTGTGTGTGTCTGTGTGTGTAACCTTGTATGTGTGTGCGTGTGTGAGTGTGAATGAGTGTGTGTGTGTGACTCACTAAACATCTAAATCTGTCTGAACATTTTTATTTACAGTTTTAAGTGACTATAAATAATTTATTAACCCTCACTGCGGACGGAAATGCCTTTCGCAACTACATTTTTTATTCTCGTTCCAAGAAAATGTATTTGCTTCAAGTCAAACAAAAAAGAAAAGAAAAAAAAGAAAGTTGTCATACCACAGTGTCTTGGTATTATTGGAAACACGCACGCCTTCGGGTATGCATAAAGTCGTAGATACTCCGTCCCTCTCCTCTGGCTTTTGCATCCTTATTCTCTCTCTCTCTCTCTCTCTCTCTCTCTCTTTCTCTATTTCTTCTTCTTTCTCTCTCTTCTCTTCTCTCTCTCTCTCTCTCTCTCTCTCTCTCTCTCTCTCTCTCTCTCTCTCTCTCTTTCCTCTTCTCTCTCCTCTCTTTCCTCTTCTCTCTCCCTCTCTTCCTCTCTCTCTTCTCTCTCTCTCTCTCTCTCTCTCTTCTCATCTCTCCTCTCTCATCTCTCTCTCTCATCTCTCTCTCTCTCTCTCCTCTCTCTCTCTCTCTCTTTCCTCTTCTCTCTCTCTCTCTTTCCTCTTCCCTTTCCCTCTCTTTCCTCTTCTCTCTCCCTCTCTTTCCTCTTCTCTCTCTCTCTCTCTCTCTCTCTCTCTCTCTCTCTCTCTCTCTCTCTCTCTCTCTCTCTCTCTCTCTCTCTCTCTCTCTCTCTCTCTCTCCTTCTTTCCTTCCTCCCTCCCTCCCTCTTTCTTTTCTTTTCCATTCTCTCCCTCTCCCCACCTCCTCTCTACGTACTCTCTACG